TTTTATTGATTTCAGAGAGGAAGGGAGAGGGAGAGAAAGCTGGAATCATCAATGATGAGAGAGAATCATTGATCAACTGTCTCCTGCATGCCCCACACTGGGGATTGAGGCCACAACCTTGATCAGAATTGAATCCGGGACTCTTCAGTCTACTGGCCAACGCTCTATCCACTGAGCCAAACAGGCTAAGGCAATTTAAACATTTTTTTTTAAAAAAGAGCATAGGTGCCTGGCCAGTGTAGCTCAATGGTTGAGCATTGAGCTATGAACCAGGAGGTCACAGTTCAATTCCTGGTCAGGGTACATACTGGCTTGATCCCCAGTAGTGGGTGTGCAGGAGGTAGCCAACCAATGATGCTCTCTCATCATTGATGTTTCTCCCTCTTTCTCCCTCTCCCTTCCTCTCTGAAATCAATAGAAACATATTTAATATAACAATAAAGTAAATAAATAAGAGCATGGATAGCCTCTGGACTCTGACCTTCTGGTTAGAATCCTGTGATTTACTGGACTATGCCTTGAGGTAAATTACTTAAAATCTCTGACAGTTTCTCTGTCTATAAAATAGAAATAGAAAGAATATCGACCTCATAAATAAATTAGATAATCCATGTAAAGTGCTTAATACACAGTATATGGCAAATAGTAAACACTCAATAGATGGCAGCTATTATTATTATTATTATTATTATTATGTAAAATCTTTATTGAATACTCAATACACATTTAATGTGATTTTACATTTAATTTTTTTAAGTAATTAATAATTTCTATGATAATTTTATTTCCTTTTTGAGTGGAAGAAAATGGAATATAACTATTATATAGTATTTGTATAAAGGGTTTCCCTCTCAGTGTATCATTGACGTGCTCCAAACAACTTAATTCAAATACCAGTCTATTGTAATGGGCTGAATGAGTGGTCACCAGAGGCTCTGTATACATGACATCGTGTCTATAAAGTAATATAAGACAAATAGCATTTTCCAATGAGAGCTCTACTTTCATTGTAAAGCCAATAAAAACATCAACCAGACAATATGTTAGCTTGTGATTATACTCTTTTAAATAACAATACTTGATAAAATGTGTTTGAATATTATTACGTAGAATTTGTTTAAAGATAAAAAGAACTGCGAAGCCGGTTTGGCTCAGTGGATAGAGTATCGGCCTGCAGACTCAAGGGTCCCAGGTTCGATTCCGGTCAAAGGCATGTACATTGGTTGCGGGCACAATCCCATTAAAGGGTGTGCAGGAAGCAGCTGGTTGATATTTCTCTCTCATCGATGTTTCTATCCATCCCTCTTCCCTTCCTCTTTGTAAAAAAATCAATGAAGTGTATTTAAAAATAAATAAAGATAAAAATAATTAAGTGGAGTAGTGAAAGAGTGTGGTGAAATAACTGTTACATTAGGATCTATCAAAGAAGAGAGTTTGACCTAACCAATGGCTTCTAACCAGGCTGCGCATCACCTATAGGGCTTGGCAAAAAAAAAAAAAAAAAAAAAAAAAAAAAAAAAAAAAAAAAAAAAAACACAGAAAGATGCTGGACCCTCCATGCAGACTTACTGAATCAATAGCTCCTGGGAGAGCCTGGGCACTGGTATCTTTAAAAGATGGCATGGGATTTCAGTTTGTGAACAACTGTTGGTCTTCTATCTTGTTGTGTATACCCTGCTCTTATCACAGAGGCTGCCACATGATTCACCTTTGTCCGAGCTGCCTTTGTAAATACAGCCTGATAGTCACCATCATCAAGAATCATCATCAGCTCGAGACAGTCTTACCTGTGACTTTTTAAATGTTTTTTTATCTTTATTGTTTAAAGTATTACATTACCTGTTACTATTATAGTTGTTTTTTATATGGAATTTTGGACCCTCTGTTTCCTCAGGCTCTCCACTGTCTTAAGCATAAAAGGGACTGTCTTCTCAATTCAGTCCCCCAACACTCTCTTCTCCCACTTCGAAGCCAAGTGTTCCCTCCCTGCACCTTTCCCCCTCTTTCCCTTTTAATGGCCAATAGAGAAACTCAACACATTTAACACAGGCAGTTGCCCTCAACTACCCTGAACGAAGCCGGTACTCCCTTCTTGCTGAGCCAACAATTTTTGAAGCAGCTGGTGTGCGCTGAGTCTCCTTTCAGAGCGCTGTGGTCCAGGCTGTCAATAGACACCACCCCCTGCACAATGAACTGTAGCTGGAGAATCAAGAAGTAGGCGTTCCCCATGACAGAATGAGTATGCAAAGGCACAGTGGCCAGACTATATGTAAAAATGCAACTCTGGCCCACACCATGTGTTAATCAGCCTAGGAAGCCAATCTACCACCTACAGGAACCAGCCGGGAAGTCAATTTATGATAGTACCTGTAGCCTCTAGTCCAGGAAGCCAAACAACACCCCTGTAGAAATCAGGCCCAAATGGTCAGGACTTGATTAATAACTAACAGCTTCCCTAAGGTTTTTTGTTTTGTTTTGTTTTGTTTTGTTTTGTTTTTTGCGTGTGTGTGTGTGTGTGTGTGTGTGTTTTAAATATATTTTATTGATTTTTTTACAGAGAGGGATAGAGAGCTAGAAACATCGATGAGAGAGAAACATCCATCAACTGCCTCCTGCACACCCCCGACTAGGGATGTGCCCACAACCAAGGTACATGCCCTTGACTGGAATCGAACCTGGACCTTTCAGTCTGCAAGCCAACGCTCTATCCACTGAGCCAAACTGGTTTTGGCTGCTTCCCTAAGTTTTGCCCCTGCTTCCAACTTTGGGTAAATGGGAGAAAGTCCAATATGCCACCTGAACAACCACTCAGAATGCCCCACCTCTAGTTAGTCCCTCTACAGTGTCCTCATGCCAACAGCCTCCAAAGGGGGCAGAGCCGAAGCCTTCCCTGTCTTCCATTATAAAGCTTTTCTGCTCCTTCTCTGGCTGCCTTAGCATCTCTGTCAAATGCAAGTGATGCTGGTGGACTTCCTTGCTTTGAATAGGAGCCTTTGTTGGTTCTCATGCTGGTGGTCTTCATTTCTTTCCACAGCTAGGAAAATGGGGCTGTAGGCTTAAAATGGCTCACTGAATTGTTCGTTCATAGCAGAAATGGCCATACCTTAGGGAGGCTAGAGACGGTAGCAGAAAGAGCACAGTGGTACCTGTGACTTTGAGGAGGTCATGGTTGGCTAGTACAGAGTGGCTGTGAAAGGGCACAGGCTCTGGATCCAGACTGCCAAGGTTCAAATCCTGGTTCTGCCACTTCCTAGCTGTGTCAATGTGTCAAGTTAACTAATTTGTACCACAGTTTCCTCGCCTGTTAAAACGTTGGTGATGATAATATCACCTGCTTCATTGGGCAATTGGAAGAATTATATGAGATAACCCATGTAAAATAGGTTTCAAAATCAATTTCAATGGTGAGAGAGAAGAGGGGAGAGAGGGAAAGAAAGAGAGACCCAGCAACACTGGGCTGAACTTCGGGAAAGCCACAATGGTCCTGGGCTGATTACTAACTGCCTCTTTTAAAAGAGACATATGTGTTTCAACTTCCCAAGTTGCCATCAACCAGCCTCACTCATTTATAATAGTTACTTGGCCGCATTTGCTACCTGTGGACTGGGCTAAGTACATTTTTCTTTCACAAAATTAGTAACCCTAGGAAACCAGTGGGTGCAAAAACTGCCAATGCCATCATCCATTTCAAAAAGATCTGGTTTGGGCCCAACAGGTGTGGCTCAGTGATTGAGTCTAACCATGAACCAGGAGGCCACGGTTACATTCCCGGTCAGGACACATGCCTGGGTTTCAGGTTTGATCCCAGTGTAGGGCATGCCGACGGCAACTGATCAATGATTCTCTCTCATCATTGATGTTTCTATCTCTCTCTCCCTCTCCCTTCCTCTCTAAGATCAATAAAATATAAGGGATCTTATTCCTCAAAGATAACTTGGAAATTTCTATGCTTTCCTGAAATCAAAGACTTGAGTATACTTTTCTGAGGCATTTATTTAAAATCACAGAGCTTATGATATACAAATAATTTTTATGTAACTAGAAGCCCAATGCCACATTCCAGAAAGTGTGACCATATTCATGAAAAACGATTAAAACTTTTCCTCTCCTAGGCCTTCTGCTATTCTTTGTAAGAAAAACAGCACTTTCAGAGAATTAAGGCTAAGTTGTTTTGACATCATGGCTTCTATTTTCAACTAAAATTCCATGTACCATCATAGAGTATCAAATTTAACCTAAAATGCCTATGCTTAACAAAACAAAGATTTTTGTCTGAATCATTTCTGGCGATCACACGCAACCCTTCCAACAGGCAGTGTCTCAGCCTTCCAATGACTGTATAAAATGGGGTTTTGAAGCCAACTTTCCAAACTAAAATAAAAAGCCATTCTCTAGCATAAACCTTCCTTCCATCATATTGGGTAAATGAAGTGATTCAGAAAACGGAGAGCCACGTTAATCACAAATAGCATTTCACTTTCTCATTTCACCTGCAATTGAACGTGGGCACTTGAGAGTGCACGGAGCACACCAGTCTAGGATAACTTCATGACAAGAAAACATCACCTAGACATTCTGGTTTACAATACTCTGAGCCAAGGGAGACAGGAATGCTTGACCACTATCAGATGGTTTCACGCGGGCTGCTGTTTTTCCCCAAGCCTCCGTTCACTTAATCTTGCAGGCACACTCCAGATTTCTTGTAAAGAAGAAGGGGTGCCTGTGGGGAGGGTCTCGGGGAAGGTGGTGTCCTCCCAAGGCCAGGAAGGGGCAGCTTCCCTGTGGGAACCACCCAGAGGCTGCTGCAACCTGGGCCCCTTCCCCGCTGTCCAGGACCGCGTGGACGCCCAGCACCACGCAGAGCTGCCCCCGCAGCGCGGGAGGCCTGGACGGGCGGCGGGCGGGACGGAGTGTGCACCCGGAGCCCCGCCGCATCCTCCCGGACACCCCTCCCGGCCAGGCCGCCCCTACCCCCGCCCCCGCCCCGGGCCAGCACTCACCCAGGCCGCGCCAGCCCAGCGCGCCGTCGCAGCTGTCCAGGATGACACAGAGCTCGCCCAGCAGCGCGGGCGGCAGGTCGAACAGCGGGGTGTGCACCGAGAGCGCGCCGCCCGCCCCGCAGCTCCCCGCCGCCGCCCAGGCCATGGCGCGGCCGCCAGTGACCAGAGCCTGGGAGGTGGAGGGATGCGGGGCCCAGAGCTCTGCACGTCAGCGAGGGGCCGTTACACAACCGCGGAAATCCTGCGGCCCAGACGGCAGAACACGCCGAACCCAGGTCCCCAAGGGGCGGGCCCTCCGTGACGCAAAGGGCCGCTCCCCTCGGATGCCCCCGGGGACGCCTGGTTCGGCCCTGGGGTCTCCAGGCCTCTGCTGGGTTCCTGGTCATTGGCTTTAAGCTTTGAAGAGTTGTTTTTGTTTGTTTGATTGTTTTTGTTTTTCATTCCTCTGGGGTTGGGACGTGACCGAAGACCAAGCAGAGAGTGAAAGCGGGAGGAAAACCAGAAGTGCAAGAGGAATGGAGAGAGAGCCTGCCTGTCCAGGCATGACTGCCTCCTGGCCTGGATGGAGATGAGGCCTGGCATTGCTTATTTACCCAGTTTACTTCCTTTTATCTTGTCAAAACCCGAGCAGTGAGGAACACTTGGGTGACGCAGAAAAATGGAAAGAATAAAACAATCACTCATCATAGCCCAACTGTGTTGCAGACAACCAACAACCACTCCACACGTGTTGGCACATTTTCCTTCCAACTTTTACTAAATGTAAACAGATCAGTGTGCATATATGAACTGGTTTTTGAAAAGATGGACACAAGTGCCAACAATAGAAAAAACAAGAGACAGAAAAAGTAGAGTAAAATCGAAGTGATTTTCTTCACTAGGCTGCCTCTTTCTACACACCGCATTTGGTTTTACTATGGTTTCTTTTCTCTGAGCTTCCTTGATGAAACATTGTTTGACCACTTTGTTCTTCCTCAAAGGGTTTACCAGCAATCTTCCTTTTGCTTTCAACACGGGAGTTTAAGTACAATTGACTATTGTTTTGAAATCTTCTACTGTTATGTGGTAATATCCCCCCAGCAGGCATAACACAAATGCTACTGACAAAAAGAGATGCTTTGAAAGTGATGAGAAAAATCCCAACCTAATGACTGAAGAGTGGACCATAACCATTAACTGAAAAAAATGTCAACACCTACTTGAAACCTTGCAAATTTGCAGTCTTTAGGAATGGCGCCCCCTAGATATCAACAGTGATAATACACTATTATTAGTACTGTTTGAATATTCACGCTGTCAGCTGAAGTATTAGGTAACATCTTTTTAAAAATTAGTAAAGGCAATACTGTTTGGGCAAGAGTTTCTATATCCCTTTCTTCAAATGGATAAGATTTTATTTGTACATGCTTAAGAAACCCTATACTTCTCAGGGGACTACCTGAATAAGGTGAGTAATGAAGCAGCATACAATTAAGTAGTTGGTAGCTCTTGAATTGCTAGAGCAAGGGAGTCAAACTCAGATACACAGAGGAGCCAGGATATCATTGTAGATGAATGAAGCAGTCATCAAGGCCTGCTTTGCCAAATTTTCTGATTTACAAAAGAAGAACTTGATGTGAAAGCCAGATTATGTGAAATCTATAGATATTATGTGAAACCTCTTGTATTTTCAAGCTAGTATCAGACCATGCTTCCTCCCTATTCCGTAGAACTGCCTTTGAGTTTTGAATTCTGTATCAATAGATTATATCACTCATTATACTCTCTTTGTGTTTGTTTGTTTGTTTTAGAGAGAGAGGTGGGGAGCGGGGAGAGGGAGAGATAGAAACACCAATGAGAGTGAAGCATGGATCAGCTGCCACTTGCACATCCTCTACTGGAGATCAAGCTCTGAACCCAGATCTGTGCCCTGACTGAAAATTGAACTTGGTGCAGGGGGACATTCCTCAACCAACTGAGAGCCACACTGGCCAGACATCATTCATTATACTCTTCACTCTTGCTGTCATCCTCTGCTACCCCCACCTCAATTCCAACTCCTCGTTTTTTAGACAATACAGCTCCTTCTCACTGTAATTATCTTCAATACTAGTCCTATCTTAATTCTTGGTGGCTTAAAATATATGTAGAATAAACTGTGATCGTTCCAGCACTTTGGACTCTCAGTTCCTTGACTCCTTTTCTTGAGTGATTTTATCCCGCACCCAATTTCAGTCACTCATTTGCATGAACATCCCCTGGAATTTGTCATTGTCAACAACTGCACCCCATCCATTCTTTATGAATTCACCCTCTGACCACACCACCTGTCCTTGCAGTGCATTCCCTCTAGTTCTCTGACCTCAACAACCCTTCTCACCAGAATACCAATCCCAAATCTTAAAAAATATATATTTTTTTATTGAATTTTGAGAGGAAGGGAGAGGTAGAGGAGAAACATCAATGATGAGAATCATTCATTAGCTGCCTCCTGCATGCCCCTACCCCCACTGGGGATCAAGCCCACAACCTGGGCATGTGCCCTGACTGGGAAAAGAACTGTGACTTAGTGGTTCATAGGTTGATGCTTAAACACTTAGCCACACTGACTGGCTGCCAATCCAAAGTCTTGCCATCCCATCTCTGTCCCCATCTTCTTGAGGTCCTCTTTTGTCTCCTTATCCATAAAGTCTACACTCAATTATTATAATCCCTCCTTTGCATATGCTCTCCATTTTCCTGCTCCTTGCTCACTTTATTGAACTCTCTTGACAAATCTACCCTCCTGATTAAATCTAATTTTCTAATTTTTGGCTCTGCACCCATGAATCTAATGGGAAGAGGGGGGATCCAAACCCTGTTAATTGGATTCAGTTTAAAAATCAAAGCCATGACTCTCATTGGTCATTGATGCTGCTAAGCAGTTATATGATGTACCTTTAGTCCATTTACTCATGCATCGGGAGAAAACATCCACAGGATCTCACTACCATGTCCATTTACCTACCAGCATTTGTACCAACATACATCCTCCCCTCTTTTCCAAGACTGATTTACCTAGGCTCCTATCTGAGTCTAATATCTTCACTTGTCTTAGCTCCTGTCGCTGCTCAAAGATTTCAAGGGCAGCTGTGTCACTCTCTGCCATATAATCAATATCTCATTCTTTGCTGATCAATTCCATCAGCATACAAATACGATGTTAATTCTTCTCACCTGAAAACAAAAACCTCTTCCATGTTACTTTCTTCTTCTATCAACCATCCCATTTCTTTGCTCCCTTCTGTAGTGAAGTGTTGAATATTCTTACTGTCTCTAATTTTTCTTCTCTGCTCTTCTCTTAAACTCACTCTAATTAGAACCACCATCACTCACCTTACTCCACTGAAATTGCTCTCTTTGGGGTCACCTACATCCACATCATTGCTAAGTAAAATAGTTTTCAATCTCCATCTTACTTGACCTGTTAGTCAATTTTTACACAGTTGACCACCTCCTCCTTCTTGGACACTTTCTTTAGTTGTCTTCCAAATTCTCATACATTTTCACCTACTTCACTAGTCACTCTTCAACTTTCTTTATTGTTCCTCTTCTACCAAGGCTCTGTCCATGGTTCTTCTCTCTATCTATACTCACTCCCTTGGTGATCTCAACCAGTGTTGAAGCTTTCAATACCATTCACCTACTGAGAACTGTCATATCTGTCTGTTGAACTCCAGGCTCATGTCCAAAATTGAACTCTTGATCATACCACCTGAATCTACTTTTACTCACATTTCCCTCCTCTAGATTACTCTGTTCTTCCAGTTGCTCAAACCAAAAACTATAGTCACTCTTGACTCCTACATGTCTTCTCAGCCCACCAGCAAATCCTACTGATTCTATTCAGACTGTATCTAGAATGTGACACTTTTCCCCACCTCCACTGCTGCCACCCCGGGCTTGAATCATCATATCTTGACTGACTGTTGTAGTTGTCTCCAAGTAAAAGTAGCTTTCACTGTTGCTTCCTACATGCTTTCTTCAACACTGCATCCAGACTAACCCTTTTAAATTAAATTTGATTATGTCTCTCCTCTGTTCAAAAGCCAACACTAGCTTCTAATTTCAGGCAGAATAAAAGTCAAACTCTTTATACTATCTTAATTCTCTCTCATCCTGCCCCTCTGCTCTGTTACACTCTGATATTGTTTCTTTGTTCATTCTACTTTAGCCACTGCCTCCTTGCTGGTCCTTAAACATACCAGGTCGAGTCCCACGTTGGAACATTTTGGTTTGCTCTTCCTTTGCCTAGGAATGCTCTTATCACATGGCTAAGGCCTACCCTGACCACCAGATTTAAAATTACAGTAGTCTGTACACTGAGATTCAGGTTGGCATGTGACTGATATTGGCAATAATATATGACTTTGAGGGGACCGAGTCTCATTCAGATCTTTCAATCTTTCTCTGCATCTGAATGATTAACATTTTAGGTTCAAGGATTATTGGTGATTTTATTTCTTTCCTGTGTTTTCTGAATTCCCAAATGTTAAATTGCATTGGAAAATTCTGAAGTCTAGAAAATAATTTCTTTCAACACTTCCATGGTTGATCCCATTTGATGGTTTCTTTTCCTTTTTATTTATTTTTTTTTTTTATAAGAGAAAGTTTATTTAGAAAGTCACAGAAGTAGGAGATATGAGCTCAGGGACCAAGTTACAAAGGCAATAGAAGAACCGTTGGAGCTTAGGAGAGAGAAAGGCCAGGAAAATCCACTGAGGAAATGGAGGTGGGATAGCTCCATAGGGAGAGCTGCCACTATTTTCTTTTTAAGCTATTTTCATGACCCTTTGCACCTCACGGTGCACTGCTATAAAAATTTGTCCCTAGCTATCACTGACTTTGAAAATCTGATTTATATAATCTAATAATTTTCAGCCAAGGGCTTTCATGCTAATTTCAATATTAGCCAAATGCTATTTTTTAAGCCAACATTTATTTATCCCCAGAAGAATCTCAGATATGTGAAAAGATATGAGAATATGGCAACATTTTTTCTCTTTCAGTAAAATGTTTACTTCGACTGTTCGCCATTTGAGACTAGGCAAGGGCTTAGAGAGCTTAGTCCAACTCCTGCATTTTACAGATGACAAAACTGTTCCTGGCTGTAAGAACTCTGGGTGC